TAATATATTGATTGATATAATTGTTGCATTAAAAATATAAACCTGCCAAAGTAACTAGTAACTATTGTTTGCAAATAAGTCAAATGCAGTGAATTTGAATTATGAAGTAGTGTAAAATGATAATACTATAAGTTAATGTACTTAAAGGTGGGGTAGGTAAGTTTGAGAAACCGGCTCGAGATACACTTTTTGTTATATTCCATGGAATGCTCTTAACATCCCGATAGCAATGAATATCTTTAGTGCTTTGACAAAAAAAATGTCATCTGTGGAAGCCGTGGCGCTGTAAAAAGCACGACCAATCATCTGAGCCGGCTAAAGTAACTGGATGGCCTACCTGCCTGTCAGCCTTACATCTGTGCACACACTTATCTCGTGCCCTCATTGGTCATGTGCGCGTTTGTGTGTGTTGGAGGAGGGGCTCTGTAAGGAAGTGGCAGATTTGTTCCGGCTGTGTATTTTCAAATTCTAGCGCACTCGAGCTGCTTTCTCAAACTTACCTACCCCACCTTTAAAGGGGAAATATTCTGCTAATTTTCAGGTTCATAATGATATTTTTCTGACATGTCTCCATGCTTTAATGTTCAAAAAGCTCTTTATTGTTCTCATACTGCCTGTGCTGCAGCACCTCTTTTCACCCTCTGTCTGAAACCAGAGCCCAGTCTGCTCTGATTGGTTAGCTGGCCGGCTCTGTTGTGATTGGTCAACCTCTTAAAGATGTCCCGCCCCTTTAGCCTAACCATACTCACTTTCCACCACTGCTCACATAAAGTACGGTCTGGAAGTTTTTGCCTCAAAACTGACTTGTTAGGGTTGCGGAACGATCATGGTTTGCATATGGAAAACTATTTAAGTAGTGGATGAAATGTGCATTAATTGTTTCTGGGAGGAAGCTAAATCTCTCCGTGTAAAAGAGGCCTTTATGATAGAAGATATATGTAGCTTTCTGGTGTTTTCTGAAACAGCTGCTCCCGTCGTTTCTCTTGTGAGGACCGTCTCCTCTGATACTCTTATCAGACAAATGGTATGTCAGCCAGACATGACTAATCCACACCGAGCGCTGTTTCTCCGTCACTATCAGGTGGAAATTGTCACGACATAACGTTATTATGCATGGCAGAAAGCATGCAGCAAGTGATGTCTCTGCTAGGTTTAAGGGAACACAAAAAGGTCCGTTTACTCAACAATAATCCTGTGGAAGATGTTGTATAATGTTTACCCTGCGATCGACCTCTGTGAGCTCCCAATGGACGGCCCCTTTTCCCTCTAATGAAATAATTACTGCTAATAAGCCAATGTGATGACTCGGGCTGATTAGCAGCATCAAAACAACACTGGCCCCAAAAAATAACTTGGACTTAAATGGAGGGAGAGGACTTTTACTTGAATGGAGCATAGTATTTCTACTTTTAAGATAAAATGAGACATACTTTATTGATCCGAAGTTGGGAAATGTCTTCTTAAATGTCTCGTTAAAACACATAATTAAAAAATCTAAAGAGTAGAGAATAAAGATAAACCTCTCAAAATACTAAATAAATCTCTAAATAAAACAGAACTAAAAGTAAAGTTGTACAAGTTGACCTTGAAAGACAAAAGGCAGTCAAAAAAAACTATGAAGGGCCAAATCCAGCTAACAAAATATCAAAGTCAACTTTATTGTCAATCTTTCAGTTTGTGTGTAGAGATCGAAATACCGTTTCCCACAATCCCGAATATAAAAACAAATGTATATAAAAATATGTGTGCAAATATGTATATACCTTTATATACACAATCAACAGACAAACGTTTACATGTACACACATTAAAGGGGACCTATCATGCAAAATGCACTTTTTGATGTCTTTTATACATCAACATGTGTCCCCGGTGTGTCGGGGAACTCACGCAGCGTCAGGAAATAAAACCCTCTCTCTTTTCCTCCGTACCCAAATCTCTAAAAACGGAGAACAACGGAGCTGATCCAGATTTGCGTCCGATATGACGTAATATCTGAAATGTGGACCCACGGCCCAATCAGAAACGTTGCTATCAGAAACAATGCCCGACTGTTTTGGACGTAATATGGTCGGTGTTTACATTAGCATCGCTAACACTCAGAGCTAACCTGTACTGGAGAGCATGTGTGTGAAGAAGCAGGAAGTAAAAAGGAACTCACCTTGTGGTATAACCGGCAAGAGAGAAAGCCTTTGAGCTCCAAACTGTTTCAGATCCTTGATAATCCATGATATGGCGTTTCATCACGGCAGTATTTAGTTTAGACCAGTGATTCTCAAATGGGGGTACGCGGACCCCTAGGGGTACGTTGGGGTACTGCAGGGCGTACGTAAGATAACAAATAAAGTAAAAAAATACCATGCAGTACAATAAGTTAAATAGAAAACACCATTTTATATAAAATATTCCTAAAACCACCAAGGGAGTCCTCATATACACATGTCAAATTTGTGTATTGTATTTTATAGTTTTTCATTAAATATGATTGTGTTCTTTGGTTTGTTAAACATATATTACTTCAATTGGAAAAATCCGTTTTATTTTTTTTTCGTTATGTTCTTTATTTTCATGCATAAAGATGAAAATATCCTTAGTTTGTTGTAATGCATGCATGAAGGAGTTCATAAATCACACACTGATGGAACATCACTATATTGTAATTATTTATATAGGCTTTTTCTATCAAAAATGTTCGGGGTCGGTCAGGGGGTACTTGGCTGAGAAAATGTTTCAAAGGGGGAACATTACTGGTAAAAGTTTGAGAAGCACTGGTTTAGAGAGTAGCTGCCGGGTCCCGCCATACTTGCCAACCCTCCCGATTTTCGCGGGAGACTCCCGATTTCGTTGCCCTCTCCCGGTGTCCTCCCGGGGTCATATTTCTCCCGCATTTCTCCCGATTTCTGACAAAATCAGATTTACTCAGGACTGTTTCCACTCGGACTTTAATACAGCTACACCATTGTTTGGTTTCCATGGTAGCGTGTCTCTTTAGTAGCACACGCAACTGACAGTCTGAGAGGGTGAGGAAGATAGTCACAGAAAACTGAACAAGAATCGACAACTCTCCTCTGCTCACTCCTTTCATGCCCACACATATGCTCCATCAAGGATGGTGCTACAGGCCGCAAGGCATTGCACTTACAACTACAATAAGCATGTTATCTAATACAGCTCCGGCGATCCCTGCTCCGGCGATCCCCCCCCCACGTTGGTTTTGGAAATGCTCCCGATTTCTGAGGTCTCAAGGTTGGCAAGTATGGGCTAAGCCCCCCCCCCTTTTTTGGTATCAATTATTTTATTTGTTTAAGCTTTATACCCTAATCAGCACTTTTGAAACAGGAAGTGAAATAGAGGGATATGAGGCATAACATCTCAGCCATTGATGCATCAATGTACCTAGAGCCAGTTAGAAGAAGTGCAACCCGCAAAGCCAACTCTTTGAACTTCGAGCGAATTTTCGCAACTAGTGACACTCTTAAATACTCCTTCTTTCCAAGAACAATCAGAGAGTGGAATTTGCTACCAGAAGAAGCTGTCATCGCAGAAACCGTGGAGTGCTTCCGGCAAATCTTAAGAGACATTTAGCGGAGATCATCCATCCCCCACTGAGCGTGGTACCTCTGGGTTCTGCTCAGTATTAATCCAGATCCAGATCCAGATGGCTAGAATGGGTGATCTGTTTGGTATTTTGAGCAAAACACTTCATAGACATGTTTTTAATATATTTTATATATCTGAGACCTATGCTATTGCCTATAGCATGATAGGTGACCTTTAAGACCTAAATAAAAGCACAACAATCAATATATACAAAATAACAGTCACTTCAATATTTGAGAATGTGCATTCGTGCAAGATTGTCCATAGAAATATAAAAGTAGGATTAGAATCTGAGTACTTTTACTTAAATGTTATCTTCCACTTTGTATGACTTACTGCATGTATGAGGTACTGTAATATCTGTGTGGGCATCAGTAGATCAAAGGCTGCAGCAGTAAGCTCTCGGGTCTGAATTCCCATACAGGCCTTTCAATCTTGATGTGGTTGTGAATTAGTAACGCTCTGCTGTCAGCGTGCCCTTGAGCAAGAGGCAGTGTGTTTCTGTTGAGGAGGTTTCCTGCAGCTCGGCACAGTGATTTCCTGAGTTTACGCAGCAGGAAAGCAGCTGTAAAGAACTGTATCTGTTCCCTACTGAAGTGGCCGTTGAAACCTGTGTGCAGTTAAAATTTGTCTCAATCACCTCGATGTAAAACCGCAACACCTCGTGTCGTTTCCCTGCTTCTCCAAGGTCTGAGCCGCACTAAATAAAACTTGATTGATCGCCTATTAATGTATCTGAAGGCAACTATGATTTACTTGTTCGCAGCAAACAAGACAGCTTCCATTTTTCTCCACTAATGGCGTCCGTCCGCGCCATAACTCTTCCTGTCTCCATGTGTACAAGCTCCATTACATGTGGCATACATTTCTAAAGCACTATTGGAGCATTACTGGATGTTGTTGGGCTGATAAAATGCTCTGTGTGGTAACTAAGAATAGCAGGTGTTGCTGGAGAATTGCAAATAGGTGTTTGTGTATTGTAAATATGTTATTTTATTACAATTTGCTTTATTTATCATAAAAGTAATTACATTTACACGGGAAAGAATCTGCAAGGCAGATAGAAGAAGCCCCTGATAGCTGTTACACCGCAACTGGTTGTTTGATGATTTGAAATGGCTGCTTGGGCGCTGCTAACAACCATGTTAGAAATTAAAAGTGGGTAAATACAACCCTCGAAAGTGTGTTTCATTCTGTGTGGTGGTGAGATTACTGCTTAGCGTTAATTTAAATAACTCGGTCCCTGTGAATATTGACTGTGGGATCTCTGCATGCTGATATTGATACACTCCTTTCCTTTCTCTGTGCCTCACATGCTGGCAGATTTGTTCATGATGTATGATTGTATTGTGTTCTTCAAACATTAATGTGACTCCCTCCTCTGTTTTGTGTCCCTGCAGAGAGCAAAGAGGTGTACAAGAGACAGGTGCTGTCAATCACATCCATCGCCATGGCAATCAGCCTGCTTGGAACGCTGTGCATGGCGCTGTACTGCCGCAACAAGTGAGAGCAAAACACACACACACATACTTATAAATAGAGAATTTTTGAAGCATAATGGGTAGGATTTCTCTCGGTACTTTCAATATGTTGGCATCTCCTTTCTGGGTCAATGACCATAGCCGGCGAGCAGCAGTTGAATCACTCAAGAACTCTATTTAAGAGGACATATTATGCTCAAATGCAGGTTTTAGGTGCTTCAATGTTCAAAAAGCTCTTTATGTTTCTCATACTGCCTGTGCTGCAGCACCTCTTTTCACCCTCTGTCTGAAACCAGAGCCCAGTCTGCTCTGATTGGTTAGCTGGCCGGCTCTGTTGTGATTGGTCAACCTCTTAAAGATGTCCCGCCCCTTAGCCGTATAAATCACACTTTGGGATTTGAGACTTTGCAGACCATTGACATCCACAACAAACTACATAACACACTTAAGTAAAGGGAACACCCCGAAAAGTATAATAGGGCCTCTTTAAGTAAAGTGAACATGCGCTCTTCAATGGGTCAGGGGGAGAACTAGCCCCCCAAAAAACATTATGTTCGTCCATGAATCCAAACTAACACCAAACACAGTACAATATGTGGTCCAGATGTCACAGTGTGCAGTAGGAAAGTACTTCTGACATTTCAGGTGCACATTTCAGGATTAAGGTTTTACATTTTGTCTGTGCTTCTGTTTAACGAGCTTAATTGTAATCCTTTTTCCAGACAGCAACGTCAATATTTAACTATTCAACAACGCATCAAATGTTAAGAGTTTTGAAATGTTGTATCAATGACAGTATGGTCAAGGTCAGGTGAGATGGTACATTTCTGCAAAGGGGAAGCACAAAATGAAATGTTAAACAACAACAGCAGATGTTATAAACACACACACACACACACACACACACACACACACAGAGTTCATGGACAGTAATTGGACGTTTTCTCCATACTCTTAGATGGATTTTCCAGCCATGCGTAAATGTGACATATGGATTTTGTATCATCATTATGTTGGCGGATGAATTAGCTGCAGTGACATCTAATTTCATCCCAAATCGGAAGTTTTCCAGCCTTCCATTTGAACTAAAAGTTGCTCCGAAGTTTCTCCAATTTACCTTGACGATTATTATCTAAATTATAATCTGCTGTCCTGGAGTAAACAGAATATTACAGTAATTGGTAATAAGCCCAGTTGGTGTGTAGGCAGTCGAAATGCCCAAGGAGACATTTTGCTAATCAAGTGAAGGCCGATGTTACATGTCGAGGCAACATCTTGAACCGAATCCCAGACTGGGTATTTGCTACAATATGTAAATCTCATTATGTGCAAACACATATTCATAGCCCATTATAACCCAAAGGTCAGCTCAGAGCTCCTGCTGTCCCTCCTTCTCTGTCCTTCTGCATATTTCTGCAGAGCATGCCCTATGTGTGCACGTTAATTGGCAGATAAATGTCTCACATCCATCCCCCTGCAGAGATACTGTATTCTGCACAGGTCAAACATGAGTGTGTGAGATGTTTTAATCACATTTAGTGCTAATAGTGGTTCCCATTTTTTTCGTGTCACACAGAACGATTTTAAAAGCAATGTATTTCTATTGGTAGTATGTTTCGTGCCGGCGCCTCGTCTTTTTGTCCGGTCGGGTCGTGGAAGACTGTGGGGTTCATAAAAACATTTTCTTACTCGATATCAAGCCACGATTATTGTTTTTATTTTAAATTGTATAATGTCGGACTTTTCTTGCCGTCCGCGAGGAAAATAAATGGGGCTCAGATCCTCAGAATACTGAAATCTGAATTTTGTAATCTTTTCCTTCTAATTTGTTGTTATTTGGTGCAGGCACGAAACATACTACCAATAGAAATACATTGCTTCTAAAATCGTTCTGTCAGAATACTGAAATCTGTATTTTTTTCCTTCTAATTTGTTATTATTTACATTGCTTTTAAAATCGTTCTTTGTGACACAAAAAAAATTGGAAAATCGTGTTGGTGAACAGGAATCAATAGATTACATGTCGTGACTATAACACAAAATGCCGTGAGACTGGGTTGTCTGCACAGGTCAAACATGAGTGTGTACCGGCGGGTTGTCACTCAGAGTGTGTGGAGCGTGCAACAGCCTGTGATAGATGGCAGTGTAATTCCATAGGCTCCCTGTGTGATATAATGATGTGAGTGAGTGAGCAGCTGACAACAAGATAATCGGATAAAGGCATGATGGACAGGCACTCTCAATGAATCTGTAATTGAGTCAGGAAACTAGCTTGTTGAGAGACGAAGATGAATACAGATCGAGAGGAAGTGTTGATGCAAATCGGAGCGACCTGAATAAAGATAGAGTCAAGGTTTTTTTTTTCTTCTATCTCACACTGAAAGAAAGTGCCAGTGAAAGACAAATTATTCTTCAACTCGTGCTGTCGTCACTGCTCTTTAAAGGGAAACATGCAGTGGGAGTTAAAGCATTCAGACTCATTGTATCCTAATCTCTTCTTAAATATATTTGCTAGATGTTAAAGTGCTGGGTTGAGCTCTAAATGTGAGTTTAAGGGTGTTCACAAACATTTTTAGAAACTCATTTACATAGTCCCCTGCTTAAAGAACATCATGTGGACAAGGCATACAAAGGGTTATAGAGATAAATGTGTTTGGAAGTCCATGTCTGTCACTTCACACCACTAGAAACGTTAATATTTAAGAATTTAGCAACAGTTAAAATTGTGCCAAATGCCAACGATTTTTGTAATTCTAGCTCCTGCAGTAGTTGCATGTGTTAATTAGAGTTTGGTATGGTGATTTATGGATAAGAGATCATGAGAGGAAGACATTTACAACCCTTGGTAAAGGTTAAGGGACCATCATGCTAACAATTCATCACCAAAATGGCTCTTGGAGATGTTGGGAATTTGTTCCTTCAGCTTCAATGAGTTTATGAGCTTGAGTCGTTTTATCAATGCTACAAAGAGATTGTGTTATTATTTTGAGTATTTAAAAAACACGGTTACCAAGTTGTTAATTATGTCAGACTTGAAGAATTTTTCCAATCCAGGACACGTTTTTATCAGATTATTTCAACTCTGCATCGATGCCCTGTCTCTCAATGATTCATTTTGATTCAAGATTTCAAGATGCAAGGCTTTATTGTCATGTGCAAAGTAGCTACTATACAGTGTAGATATGGAAATAGAAAACTGAAGTCACAGGCTCCTCCAACAGAGCAACATGAATATATATAGGACATAAAACAAATAAAACAGATAAAATAGTGCAAGAGATTGTTTTGAGATGTGCAAGGACATACAAATAAAATATAAATAGTGCAAGAAGAGTCTATATTCAATTATAAAACGGACAAGTCAATTCAAGCAATCTGATTGGTTCTTAGCCGCGATATAATGAGCGTATATCACGGGTAGAATTGTAGTTACTTTTCACAAGTCAGTATCCCTCCGCGTCTGAGAAAAAGCTACAACGGTTACAGCTGTTACATTACGTCCGTTACGAAACTAACTAACTAACAAAGCTTAAGATGGAAACATGTAAGGTTAACTTCGACCTCCGGGGTGGCCTCACTATGGAGGAGTGGATTGAGGAGTGCCTATCTCCAGAAAGCACCTAAACGACGACATGCAGAGCTACGTGAAGAGCAGGTAGACCAACTGGAAAAGTACCACCATTCAAAAGCTTTCTGATGCGGGTCTTGAAACAAAGCAGAGAAATTATGAGCGTTAGTGGCCACAGGTGCGAAAGCTCTCTCCAGAGCTGCTGGAAGCCCAATCTCGGGGACCGGAGAAAGTGGAGCAATATTCTCGCCACGCCAAGCAACAGCCTAGAACAACCTCAACCTATACAAGTAACCTCGTAAACCATTCTACTGATGCTGGACAGGTTTTCAGTGGCTGCACAATAAACGGCAACAAACACATGAATGTAAATAAATAGCCAAATAATCGATCAACGCTCTCTGTCTAATATGTTCGCTAGATGTTGGTGTTGTTGCATAGCAACCACCTCGCACTATGTTTTGTGCCGAAGGCAACGGAGGGACTATTTTTTTTTTTGTACATTATTTACTAATAAAACTATTTAAATTAGAGTGTGTATTTTTCTTTCATATTGCCACACTTGGTAACCGTTTTATAAAAGCAATAGCTTCGCGTCGGGCCAAACCACGCCCCTTAGCTGTGATATAAATGAATGACCATATACCACAGCCTGTCGTGAGCTATTGCTTGAGTTAATGGAATATGATATATAGATAAATAATTAGCAAAATGCAAACAGATGAATGTTTATGGATGATCTTCTCAATGTTAAATGAAATCCGCATTGTAAAGCGGATCAACAATTGAACGGGTTCTTCCTTGACCTTTTTTCCAAGTTTCATGTTAATGGGATCAGTATTTTTTTAATGTAATCTTGCTGTCAGACAGAGACAAGCAAACCGAGCAGAAAGACATGATATCCTTGGCAGAGGTAACACAAAACCTTCAGCATTATGAAACATGAGGTGACCTCCAGTCTGCTGCAATAAAGTTGGCTCTATATATACAACAAATTGGAAGTTAGTTCACTGAGGGCCACATACAGAAAAACAAGGTGAGGTATGTTGCCTCATAAGTTAAGCTCTCCAGAGGGTCATATTTATTTAGTTTGCAGCTCATTCCTTAAAGCAGAAGCATCAGATTGTTATATAATAAGGGGAAATATGAAGGGTAGGCAAATATTATTTCATTGTTATGGAAGTAAGTTATTTTTTTAATCAACTGAGATTCGTTAGAAATGTTTTCAACTTGAATTGACTGAATGTATTTGAAAAGGGGGATTATTAACACATGTAACCTCTTTTTTGATATATTTACAATACAATTTACAAGCACAGGTTTCATGTGTAGGCCATGCTCTATTGTACATTTAGAATTTGCTACGGGCCAATTAGAAATGCCAAAATGGTCAGTTGGAGACCCAATTTATTTTTAATTAAGAGAGGGCCGCTAACTCAAACATCCCTATTTGTTGTCTCGCTCTCACGCCTTTCCTTCCTTGGCTTGAATAGCAGCATCTGTTAAAAGCATATAATCCCCACCATAAAATAATAACATTATGCTAAGTATCATTTCTAATCAAAACTGGGATAACAAATTAGCTCCGACCAGGTTTTGAACCACAGAATGTGAGGGATTGAGCATTTAAGCAAATACAAACTGGTATGTACAGTATGTCGATTTGACACACTCAGAGATGGCTGCAGTACACACATCCTTTCCTCAAGTAGAAGAACAGATACTCGTGTTTAAAAATACTCCGGTAAAAGTAGAAGTACTGACTAAACTTCTTTACTCAAGTAAAAGTAAAGGGCTTTGAAATGTACTTCAGTAAAAAGTACCCATAACTAGCAGCTGTTTTAAAGAGTACCTGACCCTCCCTTTATATTAATAGAACAATAATGTCATTGTTAGCTAATGAATGTTTCCATGCTGAACAACGGCAACATGAACAACGTTTCCATTGGTCCCTCTTCTTTAGAGAAGACCAGGAAATGATGGATACACGGATCGTGTTCAAATCAATAGGCACGCAATGACTCTAAAGAATAATGATCACGCACCAAACACACATTCAGACTAAAGGAACCAGCTGTTTGGAAAAATGAGAGAAGTAGAAAGTACAGGTATTTGAGTTCAACATGTAAGAAAGTAGAAAGTACAGGTATTTGAGTTCAACATGTGAGAAGTAGAAAGTACAGGTATTTGAGTTCAACATGTAAGAAGTAGAAAGTACAGGTATTTGTGTTCAACATGTAAGAAGTAGAAAGTACAGGTATTTGTGTTCAACATGTAAGAAGTAGAAAGTACAGTATTTTGGTGTTCAACATGTAAGAAGTAGAAGTACAGGTATTTGTGTTCAACATGTAAGAAGTAGAAAGTACAGGTATTTGAGTTCAACATGTAAGAAGTAGAAGTACAGGTATTTGGGTTCAACAGTGTAAGAAGTAGAAAAGTACAGGTATTTGGGGTTCAACATGTAAGAAGTAGAAAGTACAGGTATTTGGGTTCAACATGTGAAGTAGAAGTACCGGTATTTGGTTCAACTGGAAGAAGTATAAAGTACGTATTTGAGTTCAACATGTAAAGAAGTAGAAAGTACAGGTAATTTGTGTTCAACATGTGAGAAGTAGAAAGTACAGGTATTTGGTGTTCAACATGTGTAAGAAGTAGAAAGTACAGGTATTTGGGTTCAACATGTAAGGAAGTAGAAAGTACAGGTAATTTGGGTCAACATGTAGAGAAGTAGAAATATACAGGTATTTGTGTGACAACAAGTGTAAGAAGTAGAAGTACAGGTATTTGGGATTCAACATGGAAAGAAGTAGAAAGTACAGGTATTTGGGTTCAACATGTAAGAAAGTAGAAAGTACAGGTATTTGAGTTCAACATGTAAGAAGTAGACAAAGTACAGGTATTTGGTAGTTCAACATGTAAGAAGTAGAAAGTACAGGTATTTGAGTTCAACATGTAAGAAGTAGAAAGTACAAGGTATTTGTGTTCAAAGTGTAAGAAGTAGAAAGTACAGGTATTTGTGTTCAACATGTAAGAAGTAGAAAGTACAGGTATTGCGGCCCTTCAACAGTAGTATTGTGGGTTCAACATGGAAGAAGTAGAAAGTACAGGTATTTGGGTTCAACATGTAAGAAGTAGAAAGTACAGGTATTTGAGTTCAACATGTAAGAAGTAGAAAGTACAGGTATTTGGGTTTCAACATGTAAGAAGTAGAAAGTTCAGGTATTTTGTGTTCAACATGTAAGAAGTAGAAGTACAGGTATTTGAGTTCAACATGTAAGAAGTAGAAAGTACAGGTATTTGGGTCAACATGTAAGAAGTAGAAAAGTACAGGTATTGAGTTCAACATGTAAGAAGTAGAAAGTACAGGTATTTGGGTTCAACATGGAAGAAGTAGAAAGTACCGGTATTTGGGTTCAACATGTAAGAAGTAGAAAGTACAGGTATTTGAGTTCAACATGTAAGAAGTAGAAAGTACAGGTATTTGGTTCAACATGTAAGAAGTAGAAAGTACAGGTATTTGTTCAACATGTAAGAAGTAGAAAGTACAGGTATTGTGTTCAACGTGTAAGAAGTAGAAAGTACAGGTATTTGTGTTCAAAGTGTAAGAAGTAGAAAGTACAGGTATTTGTGTTCAACATGTAAGAAGTAGAAAGTACAGGTATTTGAGTTCAACATGTAAGAAGTAGAAAGTACAGGTATTTGTGTTCAACAAGTAAGAAGTAGAAAGTACAGGTATTTGTGTTCAACATGTAAGAAGTAGAAAGTACAGGTATTTGTGTTCAACAAGTAGTGGAGTAAAGTACTAATACCAGAAAAATGTACTTAAGTTCAGTAACAAATGATTTGTACTCCACTGCTTCCCACCTCTGGACACAAACATAATAATACATATGTTCCCCTAATCAAATATAACCTGATCTGTAACTACAGGAGTTCAGATTAAGTATAAAAAGTAGTGGATGTCCGCGGCTACAGACATCATTATTAAAAACATCTGATTTTATTTGTTTGCAGAGGATGCTTTAAAGAGTACTCATTAGCATTCTACAGCATCCAATAAGCAACCGGATTGTTCGAAGGCTTTAGAAGAGATAATGGACCTTTTATATTAACGCTGTCCCAATAGCAGTGTGTACCAAATGTCACAGCCTCCTCCTAAGAAAATGTAATTACAGTGGCATGGAGGTGGCTGTTTGTAAACACTGCATTACATGGCTGTCATTCAGAGGAGGAAATAAACCAGTGTGGAGTTTCCTGTCTGATAACTCTGAGCATCAAAGGCCTGATAAAAGAGTTCGCTGCTGTCAGTGTAATTGCATAAACTTGGGTAACTAGTGTTGTTTTAATTAAGAGCGTGTAATGTCCGCTGCATGGTGTTAAACACAAAGCAGAAGAGCTGCTTTTAGATCATTGGGAAAAATTAGATTACAACACAACAATTATCCCTACATGTCTTGTGATAAGTTTGGTCTGCTAAGATTAAACTAATTAGTGTTACAGTAAATTGAGTGTCTGTATAATTCATATTACAAAGCATTCTCAATGAGTTTAAAGAGTTCTCTCCTGCTGATGTTCAGGTGTATATCAGTATGTAGTGTCTACTTTAAAGAGTCCTCTCCTGCTGATGTTCAGGTGTATATCAGTATGTAGTGTCTCTACTTTAAAAGAGTCCTCTCCTGCTGATGTTCAGGTGTATATCAGTATGTAGTGTCTACTTTAAAGAGTCCTCTCCTGCTGATGTTCAGGTGTATATCAGTATGTAGTGTCTACTTTAAAGAGTCCTCTCCTGCTGATGTGCAGGTGTATATCAGTATGTAGTGTCTCTACTTTAAAGAGTCCTCTCCTGCTGATGTTCAGGTGTATATCAGTATGTAGTGTCTCTACTTTAAAGAGTCCTCTCCTCTGATGTTCAGGTATATATCAGTATGTAGTGTCTCTACTTTAAAGAGTCCTCTCCTGCTGATGTTCAGGTGTATATCAGTATGTAGTGTCTCTACTTTAAAGAGTCCTCTCCTGCTGATGTTCAGGTGTATATCAGTATGTAGTGTCTCTACTTTAAAGAGTACACGTACAATGCATTGGAGCGCTAGCTAAATGAAGCGCGAGTGTTACGTATTGATGTCACTATGATCAGAAAGTAAACAAAGGAGTCCAACTCGAGAAAGCCTTTACAGACCATTTACATGCACCAAAACCTATATAACACACTACTAGAGAAACCCCCAACATTTATAACAGGGCCTCTTTAATAAAAACAGATCTGAGTGAGTCCAGCCTCAAAACATCTTCACAGAATGTATTAAATGGATTTGAGGTACATCAAATAAACTGTGTTTCATATTGCTGCTTGGGGAGAAAAGAAGGAAAGGTATAGATAGAAAGTGTCTCTGGTAAATAGCTCACTTTCTTCTCTCCTCTCTCCTCAAGGGCATGAGAATGCAATTCTCCTTGGCCTCTGACTCATTTTTTAAAAAGTATGTCGGTGGATGAGACTGAAAATTGTGCGAGAATCCTGCAGATGCTTCACACTGATATAATGGATTTTTGGAATAGAGAAGAAATAGTGACGCTTGTTTTTTTCTGTAACTAACCGTCAACCTTGAAATTCCACCTCTTCCTACATGTTTTTATATCAGGATAAGAGCGTATTTCGTGTCGTTGCCAGAAACATAACAAGGATGGTTTCATACTATGTTCATCTCACAAAAACAATCACTACTTTCATTGAATTATCTGTGTTGTAGCATCTGGTGTCATTACGTGTCATAATACTCTAAGTCAAAGTCATGCATTTAAAACGTCACGTATGTAAAAGTCAAGAAGTATTATCAGCAAAATGTACCTCAAGTATCGAAGGTAAAAAGACTTCCTCCTCAAGTTCTGGATTAGAATATATGACATTATTAGATTGTTAATTTTCTTACTTCAAGTAGTATTTTATTCTGATACACAAATTGTTCATGTTTACGGCTTTATTATTTTACTTTTTTGTAATGCAGTGGATAATTTAAGTTTGCGATGTTTTAATGCAAACTCTTAAAGGTCCCATGTCATAGCCATTTCTACTGATCATATTTCCATTGTTGAGGTCTACTAGAATAGATTTACATTGTGCAATTTTCCAAACTCACATTGGTTTCTCATACAGCAGAAAAACCTTCATAACACAAGGGGACGGGTGATAACCAGAAAAGCATGACATGGGACCTTTCATCTGAAAAGTAACTAAAGCTGTGAGACAAATGTGCAGTGTGTATAAAATATCTACCCATGATATGAAGTGGAGGAGAATTAAAAGCTTGAGTACAGCTCTTCAGTGAATGCACTGACGGTGGTTGAGCTCTCCTGATTTCCTTTCTTTCTCCTTCTCTTCAGGAGGCGCAGAGAGAAGCTCCAGGCTCACCTGAAGGAGAGTCGCAGTCTGAAGAACTACACCGCTAACTCCCATAACTCCCATAATGCCCTGGACGCCAAGCTGAGGGCCCCTAACGCCAACCTGCAGATGCACGAGGTAACACAACTTATCCATCACAACTTTCTTTCAGAGTGCTGCTGCTTTTCTACTGAAGGACATCAACTCATGTGTGTTTACTGTGTATGCACATGTATGTACAGAAAGTCAGGGTGCTCTGATTCCATTTCTTCACAGGTGGTAAAAGTACTCAGATCTGGTACTTGAGTAAAAGTAGAAGTGCTCATCTAGTACTTGAGTAAAAGTAGAAGTACTCAGATCTTGTACTTGAGTAAAAGTAGAAGTACTCATATCTTGTACTTGAGTAAAAGTAGAAGTGCTCATCTAGTACTTGAGTAAAAGTAGAAGTACTCAGATCTAATACTTGAGTAAAAGTAGAAGAACTCAGATCTGGTACTTGAGTAAAAGTAGAAGTGCTCATCTAGTACTTGAGTAAAAGTAGAAGTACTCAGATATTGTACTTGAGTAAAAGTAGAAGTACTCAGATCTTGTACTTGAGTAAAAGTAGAAGTACTCATATATTGTACTTGAGTAAAAGTAAAATAACTCAGATATTGTACTTGAGTAAAAGTAGAAGTACTCAGATCTTGTACTTGAGTAAAAGTAGAAGTACTCATATAATCTGGTAACTTGAGTAAAAGTAGAAAGTACTCAGATCTTGTACTTGAGTAAAAGTAGAATAACTTCAGATATTGTACTTGAGTAAAAGTAGAAGTACTCAGATCTTGTACTTGAGTAAAGTAGAAGTACTCAATCTTGTACTTAGTAAAAGTAGAAGTACTACTAGGATCTTGTACTTAGTAAAAGTAGAAGTACTCTGATCTTGTACTTAGTAAAAGGAGTAGAAGTTACTCAGATATTGTACTTAAAAGTAAAAGTAGAAGTACTCAGATCTTGTACTTGAGTAAAAAAAGTAGAAGTACTCAGATCTTGTACTTAGTAAAAGTAGAAGTACTCAGATCTTGTACTTAGTAAAAGTAGAAGTACTCTGATATTGTACTTAGTAAAAGTAGAAGTACTCAGATCTTGTACTTAGTAAAAGTAGAAGTACTCAGATCTTGTACTTGAGTAAAAGTAGAAGTACTCTGATCTTGTACTTAGTAAAAGTAGAAGTACTCAGATCTTGTACTAAGTAAAAGTAGAAGTACTCAGATCTTGTACTTGAGTAAAAGTAGAAGTACTCAGATCTTGTACTTGAGTAAAAGTAGAAGTACTCAGATCTTGTACTTGAGTAAAAGTAGAAGAACTCAGATGTTGTACTTGAGTAAAAGTAGAAGTACTCTGATCTTGTACTTAGTAAAAGTAGAAGTACTCAGATCTTGTACTTGAGTAAAAGTAGAAGTACTCAGATCTTGTACTTGAGTAAAAGTAGAAGTACTCAGATCTTGTACTTGAGTAAAAGTAGAAGTACCAGAGTGTAGGAATACTCTGTTACAGTGAAAGTCCTGCATTCAAAATGTTCCTCAAGTGAAAGTAGAAAAGTATTCTCATCAAAATATAGTGAAAGTAGCGACAGTAAAAGTAGTCGTTGTGCAGATTGGTTCATTTCAGAATAATATATATGATGTGTTTTATAATGATTGATCATGAAAGTGTTCTCAAAGCTGGTAAAGGTGCAGCTAGTCTGAATGACTTTGTATACTGCAGGGTAGCTGGTGGATTTACTCCAGGTGGAACTAAAGTCTGATTTAACACTTGATTATATTTCACATCATTCTTCCACATCTGTGAAGTAACTAAAGGGATTAAATACATGTAGTGGAGTAGAAGCACACCATGCACCTCTGAATTGAGTAGAAGTACAAAGTAGCATAATAAAGACAGACAAGGGATTTCAAAGACCCTACAACATAAAGAAACACTTAATGCTATTAAGACACATGTACGATGTTGTGTTGCTCAAGTCAGCTTACATTTAAAATATCTGGTAGAAGAGAGCATCAGAAATCCTGCATACACTGTGCACATATTACACCTCTCATTGAGTTATTCACCCCCCTACAGTTTTTAGCTGCTATTAAATCACTTTGTATTCCCGTCTCCACCTGGACCCTCGCAGGTCTTTGAGTGAGAAATCGTTCGGTGGTTTGGGAGTCCGTCATTCATCTTCTTCTCAGCGCTCTTTGTCATCGCATGTCTCCCAGAAGTGTGTTTCAGAGTAGCTGGCATAGAAAGCATCACATTAATTCAAATGTCAGTAAAAAAAAATCCATGCTTTTGGGGAGTATGTGTTTGTGCAGCAGTTGGCATGAACAAGCTGTCAACGTTTGTAATCCACACAGGTTAGACAGCACTATTGGGTAAACTGTTTCAACTAGGGCAGGATTTAAATTTACAATGAAGTGAAGCACATGTAGACTCTGGGGACTCGCAGTCCGTCATAAACACATTGACATACTCAAGGTAGAGTGGAAGCAGGGCCGTCCCTCCCTACAGGCCGATCATGCAGGCTGCATGGGGCCTCACATTGCGCAGGGGGCCTCACATTGCGCAGGGGGCCTCGGCTTATGAGCTCGGCTTGTGCGCAGTTCTCAGCGCAGTTCTCCGTGCATTCTTTATTTACCATTCATTCAAGTATGTGATGCCTTTTATCTGCTAATGTACAGGAGGAAGAGAGATACACTGTCTGTCTAGTTGGCTTACATAACAGTTAAAGTTTACAGCCTAAAAAACATGGAGCATTTGTTCCCCTTTTATTCATTTTTATGTAAATTTGCACATTTCATGGTGATGCTCAGCCTCTCCCCTTAACTCCTAACATCATCATGGTGACCCTCAGCCTCTCCCCTTAACTCCTAACAGTCATCATCATGGTGACGCTCAGCCTCTCCCCTTAACTCCTAACAGTCATCATCATGGTGACGCTCAGCCTCTCCCCTTAACTCCTAACAGTCATCATCATGGTGACGCTCAGCCCTCCCCTTAACTCCTAACAGTCATCATCATGGTGACGCTCAGCCTCTCCCCTTAACTCCTAACAGTCATCATCATGGTGACGCTCAGCCTCTCCCCTTAACTCCTAACAGTCATCATCATGGTGACGCTCAGCCTCTCCCCTTAACTCCTAACAGTCATCATCATGGTGACGCTCAGCCTCTCCCCTTAACTCCTAACAGTCATCATCATGGTGACGCTCAGCCTCTCCCCTTAACTCCTAACAGTCATCATCATGGTGACGCTCAGCCTCTCCCCTTAACTCCTAACAGTCATCATCATGGTGACGCTCAGCCTCTCCCCTTAACTCCTAACAGTCATCATCATGGTGACGCTCAGCCTCTCCCCTTAACTCCTAACAGTCATCATCATGGTGACGCTCAGCCTCTCCCCTTAACTCCTAACAGTCATCATCATGGTGACGCTCAGCCTCTCCCCTTAACTCCTAACAGTCATCATCATGGTGACGCTCAGCCTCTCCCCTTAACTCCTAACAGTCATCATCATGGTGACGCTCAGCCTCTCCCCTTAACTCCTAACAGTCATCATCATGGTGACCCTCAGCCTCTCCCCTTAACTCCTAACAGTCATCATCATGGTGACCCTCAGCCTCTCCCCTTAACTCCTAACAGTCATCATCATGGTGACCTCAGCCTCTCCCCTTACTCCTAACAGTCATCATCATGGTGACCTCAGCCTCTCCCCTTAACTCCAAAACACAGTCATCATCATGGTGACCCTCAGCCTCTCCCCCTTAACTCCTAACAGTCATCATCATGGTGACGCTCAGCCTCTCCCCTTAACTCCTAACAGTCATCATATGGTGACCCTCAGGCCTCTCCCCTTAACTCCTAACAGTCATCATCATGGTGACCCTCAGCCTCTCCCCTTAACTCCTAACAGTCATCATCATGGTGACCCTCAGCCTCTCCCCTTAACTCCTAACAGTCATCATCATGGTGACCCTCAGCCTCTCCCCTTAACTCCTAACAGTCATCATCATGGTGACCCTCAGCCTCTCCCCTTAACTCCTAACAGTCATCATCATGGTGACCTCAGCCTCTCCCCTTAACTCCTAACAGTCATCATCATGGTGACCCTCAGCCTCTCCCCTTAACTCCTAACAGTCATCATCATGGTGACGCTCAGCCTCTCCCCTTAACTCCTAACAGTCATCATCATGGTGACGCTCAGCCTCTCCCCTTAACTCCTAACAGTCATCATCATGGTGACGCTCAGCCTCTCCCCTTAACTCCTAACAGTCATCATCATGGTGACGCTCAGCCTCTCCCCTTAACTCCTAACAGTCATCATCATGGTGACGCTCAGCCTCTCCCCTTAACTCCTAACAGTCATCATCATGGTGACGCTCAGCCTCTCCCCTTAACTCCTAACAGTCATCATCATGGTGACGCTCAGCCTCTCCCCTTAACTCCTAACAGTCATCATCATGGTGACGCTCAGCCTCTCCCCTTAACTCCTAACAGTCATCATCATGGTGACGCTCAGCCTCTCCCCTTAACTCCTAACAGTCATCATCATGGTGACGCCTCAGCCTCTCCCCTTAACTCCTAGCAGTCATCCATCATGGTGACCCTCAGCCTCTCCCCTTAACTCCTAACAGTCTCATCATGGTGACCCTCCCTCCCCCTTAACTCCTAGCAGTCAATCATCATGTGACCCTCAGCCTCTCCCCTTAACTCCTAACAGTCATCATCATGGTGACCCTCAGCCTCTCCCCTTAACTCCTAACAGTCATCATCATGTCAACCACTAACACAGAGAAATACTGATAGAATGTGTGTGTAGTTGTTGACACATTGCTGACAGAGGGAACTAGATACAGATTAAGAAATATCAGTTTTTGAGCATGTCATAAGCATGTTTTGTCTTGACTATATTACAACTAAATTATAATAAAATAATATAGTATTTATATTATTTAATTGATTATGATTATTATTATTATTAGTAGAAGTAGTTTATTTGCATTAATTATATTTTAATCTTTTTGAGGCTAGTATTTGGCAGGAAATGCAGACGTATTCACCTGTAAACGCATACTGCACGACATACAGTACATGCACATTTACCATTTACCTCAC